TTTGATGTCTGACCTAGAGTACGAGTATTCCTGCAAAGTAACATTAGATCTTACAGAAGCAATATACAACCAGCACCAAGATTTTTTTGATGATCAGGAAAAACTAGTAGAGATCAAGACTGAAATCCGAAAATCAAGCGAGCGTGCTAAATCACTCTACAATCGATCTTCGAGATTGTTCTAAAAGGGCTCCCGACAGTTGAAACCAACTTCAATCGATGTATTTTCGGACGCTGATTCCGAATCACCCCCCATGACATAGGGTTAAAATGCTCCCCTGACGAGATATTGGCGAAAAACTGTCTGGATCACGTGATATGACCATATAAGGAAGTTAGTCTAATTTCTCGTTAGGGTTAGGGTTTCAGCATATGCTTTTGTTATGGATTGGGTTAGGGTTAGGGTTGGAATCAGACAAGAGGGTTAGGGTTTCGAATAGTCTTTCAGGGCCAGCTAGAGAACGGGTTGAAAAAGTCACGTGACAGTCGAGTGTAGAGTGATTAATCATCATCCAAAATCAAGGGTAGAGTTTTTCAAGGAGAGAAAAGAAGAGGTTACAAAGGACCTGAATGAAACCCAAAAATTAGTGAAACAAATTTCGTCACTCCCGCTCAAATCATTCGGATTCTGTCTCAACAAGCAAGAATTCAATGATGCCCTAGCCTTAAGGTACAACTTTGGGATAAAAGATGCTGCAAGAAAATGTGTATGTGGAAGTGACAACTCAATAAACCACTCATTAATATGCAAAAGGGGTGGATATGTATCTCTTCGCCACGACTCATTGAGGGATGTGATAGCAGAGCTATTAGAAACTGCTGGCTGTAAAGATGTGACCACTGAACCTCTCCTCATTCCTGTCAACGGGAGAGAACTTCCTGCAGGGGCCAACAAAGCAGATGGAGCTAGATTAGATGTTAGTGCTAGGAGTGTATGGAACCCATTGGAAAGGGCGTTTTTAGATGTAAGAGTATTTCATGCTCAAGCTCCTTCCAATAAGGCTCTTGGATCTCCAACCACTATGTACAATAGCCACGAGAGACAGAAGAAGAATTTATACAATAAAAGGATTGTAGAAGTGGAACATGGGACGTTTACACCGATAGTCCTATCAACCACTGGGGGTATGGGAAGGGAAGCTAATAAGTTCTTCAAGAAATTAGCGGATAAACTTTCTAGGAAATCAGGCCAACGATATAGTGAGGCAATGACATTTATTAGGAAGAGAGTAAGATTTGACCTATTGAGAACAACATGAACAGTCATAGCTCTTAGAGGAGAGAGAGGGTTAAAAAGTAGTAGTGCAGTAAAAATAGCAGAATTAGATATAAATTTGGAGCCAGTTCATTAAACTGGCTTACTTATACTACTTAAAGGGTGTTTATGAGTATTGCTGAAAGCACAGTGTAAGGCCTACACGGACCGCCTCTAACTAGCCAATCCCTGTTTACATGCCGTGTAGCAGGGGACTAGAAAGAGCTAAACTAGTAAGCGGGGCATAGCCAATACACTATACTTCCATCATTGAGTATATTACCAATCAGAAGGAAAATTTCCTTGTGTTTGGAATCTACCAAGACGAAAGTTGTACAATCCAGCGAAATTCTATTTAGTTTTCTATTGAATTTATATTGAATTTTTATATAGGGTAATTGTTATATTATGTGTATATTGTTTGAACTTTCCCATTAGAGATCTTATAGATCAACTTATATTTACATAATATTGTCCTGTTTGTATCATGTTGTATAACTCTTTTTTATTGAAGGTTTAAAAAATTTATCCCTCGATCATGCATTTATCGTTCAACGAAGAGAAACCTTGCCAATTTACTAAATCTAGTAAGGGCACCCTTCACCAGTGAAACAAATTTTTTTGTGAAACAATTTTAAAATTTTATCCTTTATTTTACAATCATAATAAAATAATATTTATAAGCCTCCGTTTTGAATTTTAATATATTCACATTTCTATTTTAAATTCAATTCAATGTATAATTCCAGCCCCTACACGCACGTATTAGAAACAACATTAACCTGTATTTGTGCTACTATACCTTTGATCTTACTATTATCGATGCCAAAAGATCATTATTGTAAAGTTATCTGTTATCTGTAAGCTCCCTCTTTTTTATTTCGTTGTTAGAAGTCCCTACTATAGAGTTGTCAAAATAGTATAGAGGATTTGTGGATGAAAGTAACCAATCACAAATTTTCTGGTACGAAAAACCTCTATTTGACGTGCCACAATTTACAGTTAACCCCGCGGGTAATTCCTTTCCCCGAATTTTTCTTCTTAATTTACATAAACGTTTTCTCGTAAAATATGGTTTTCCTGACAATTTTGATCATTTTGGTAGTACAGTAACCCCCCCCCCACAATAAGCCCCTGTAAAACGCGGTCCATCTGTACAACATTGACACCACAGTCAAGATCACCTTATCTCCAAGGAAAAGTATTGTTTCTGTGTCAGTGAGGTGGTCCAATGCAATGTCATGGCATGTATCATAATTGTAGGTGCTAGTGCCTGAACTTTTTTGTATTTGGATCAGAGGCACATATTATGTGCGGTAAAAAAATCGAAATTATGCGGTACCGCACCCGACTATAAAGGTAAAATGTGCGGTAAGGTGCGGTAAATTTTTACCAATTATGCGGCAAATGTGCGACGATTTTTTCGAAATTTGTGCGGGAATTGTGCGGTTTTCTTTTGCATTTTCTGAAGGACTTTGGAAATTCTAAACGTATAACCGCCGCTCTTATCAAAAGTAGGTCTGTTTATGTGTTACTGAGGGTTTAGTTCTTTACTAAGACCATGATTGAACCTATATTGAGATTCAGTTATCTGAGAACAGTGACTTGATCTGGTAGAGATCAGGAGACAGTTATTTGAAGACGCCTCTTGATAGAGTCGATCAGATCCCATGCGTGATCGCAAATATGTGACACGCTTGTTGGCATTGATCGTCAGTACTTGTAAACCATTTGATCCAAGATCCATTAAGCCCACTATAAAGCCAACGCTACAACGAATAGAGCTCATTACCCGATAAAAAGGGCTGCAGGTATTATCGAAGTACGGTAACGACGAGGGTTCCATAACGGCCTGGGTCACGGTCCCGAAAGGGCCTGGGTAACGGTCCCGAAAGGGCCTGGGTCATGGTCCCGAAAGGGCCTGCGTCACGTGGTAACCGGGTCACGTGGCCTAGGCATGAGTTCCAAAAGGGCCTGGGTAACGGTCCCGAAAGGGCCTGGGTCAGGGTCCCGAAAGGGCCTGGGTCACGTAGTAACTGGGTCACGTGGCCTAGGTATGAGTTCTAAAAGGGCCTGGGTCACGGTCCCGAAAGGGCCTGGGTCAGGGTCCCGAAAGGGCCTGGGTCAGGGTCCCGAAAGGGCCTGGGTCACGTGGTAACTGGGTCACGTGGGCTAGGTATGAGTTCCAAAAGGGCCTGGGTCACGGTCCCGAAAGGGCCTGAGTCACGGTCCTAAAAGGGCCTGAGTCACGGTCCTAAAAGGGCCCGACTTTTAACATATTTTTGTTTTTACACTCGAAAATCTTAACGCGAAAATTTCAAAATTATGCGAAATTACGCGGAAAATGCTAGATTATGCAGAAATATGCAGAAAATTACAAAATGTGCGGAAGTGTGCGGAAAACAATAAATTATGCGGAAATGTGCGGAAAACGGTAAATTGTGCGATCCCGCACCCATCGCACCTAATATGTGCCTCTGATTTGGATACTGCAACAATAGGATTAGGAAAACAGATTTTAGGAAAACAAATCTGCTGGCACAGATTAGGATAGGATAGGTCTTAAAACAGCGGTGTACATTCACCTAAGAAGACCACAGCTCTTCGACAATCGACATAGCATGAAAAATGCTGTAGTCCCCAGTGACTAAAAGTGAGGAATTTTTTAAAAAATGTATAGTCGTTTTGAAAATATGTTTAGTTTTTTTTTTCCTAATAAAATTTTAGTGGTCATCAAGCACTTTTATCAGAAAACGGCACTGTTATAGGTCTTATAGTCCACTTTTATTGGTGAACAAAACTAATCCAGTTTTAAGGGCACCATTCCTGATGTTGGTTGTTTTGCATGTTCTGTTTCAGATGATATATGGGCCATATTATGTGTATTCCAAAATTTAGTTGAAGAGCTTATCATGTTATTGAATTATATACTTCAGAATTATGATAGGGAGAAGTGGAAGCTGAATTTGATGATGGATCTTCCTCTTAGTGTCAACCAAGTCTCAAACAACACAAGATTTCACGCTGACTTAGATTTTCATGTCAAGGTGTTAAAGAGCTGTTTTATTCACAGCATTGAAGGGGGAGATACTAAAAGTGCCCAAAATTGTTATACTCGGTTGGCCAGCTTACATTTTAAGCCTCAAGTTGCTATAGACTTACTTTCTTTTGGTGTTCAGCTGATACGACTTTCTGAGCCTGCAGAATCAATTCAATTTGAAATTAAAGAACTTTTAAAGTGCCTTATTGCTCTGAAAGGTACATACTTGAATAATTATGTCAGAAAACTTGCTGAAATCTATCACAGTGAAAATAATAATGAAGAAGCAATTGCTTTGATTAAGTCAAAACTGTCTGGAAAAGCTTCGAGAAGTCTTTTAGATGAGTTCAATTTAAGTTGACGAATTAATATATATGTCAGACATAAATTATAATTTGCAATAATTATTTACAATAGTTGAGAAAAAATACTGAAGTAAGCTTTAGTATATTTAAATAATTTAACTTTTTTTAAATATTTAGGCTCAGCACTACTTTTATTATTAGTTTAAAACACCAGCCCTGTTAAAACAGTTTTTACCACATGCACTTGTTGTTTTAAATCAATGTTGCAATTTTTGCTCCATTTCAGAGTTACCCTCAAACTGATGTGAACATAACTGTATTTATTGCATTGCCAATGATTCAATTACAATTCCATTTAAAATGATCAATATATACTTACATTTAAGCTAACGCATATTGATTGTAGCAACCATGGGTAATCTGCTCCAGCTACTACGAAAGGAGGACAGCAACAACTTTAAACTGCCTGACAATGTCTTCCTTGATTTTGAGAGTAAGTAAACTTAACACTTCAGTAAACAGTTTAATTTTGATGGACTTTACCTTTTTTTAAACCTCTCATTTTGAATTTATGGCTTTTTTGAGTGAAACAAAGCCATGAATTTGAGTTTTGACCTTAATCCATTTAAATTGAAACCTCATGTTTGTTTACTGACAATGCTTATCTCAAACATAATTATAAAGCATCATCTCCTAGTTATGACTCTCCTAGATAGGACTGGGGCCCCGCTAAACACATTTTCCTGTCTGCTTTTTTGTGAAGGCCTAACAAATAAGTTTATTTTAACAAAGCTAATAATTCGAAAAATGGCCACAGGCCTAAATATTATATATCAATCAATTACAATTCATTAACATTACCAATATTAAAAACTGTCCAAAATATCTAAGAAATTATTCTCTAGCCAAAGGGCTCAATATTTAAATCTAAATGTTCAATATTGTCTGGTTTATATCGCAACTTGGGCCCTCTGTCCCCCCTTATCGAAATAACTGTTGGCTTTAATACCTCAAAGCGCAAGCGCTTTCTAAGATATGTAACTGAGTCTGAATATTGCTGACCCATTGGAGATTCCATCTTCGACTCCCATGCCTCCTGTTGTGGAGAAAACTAAAGGTGTAAAGGAAGCTTTTTCCACTTCTAGGACCCTTGCATTATATGCTCTTTTCTTCTCAGTCTCGTGAGCCAAATACATCGTAGGAATTGGTTTCTAGCTGCGTTGGTTGGAGCAGGAGCGTGAAACACTCTTACATCGAAAAATGCTCTTTCCAACGCATTCCAAACTGATCTTGCTGATATATCTAGTCGGGCTATTAAATCACAATTTACACATTTCAAAATTTATTGTTTACAAATATCCGTGTATTTGATAAACACAATAATATAGGACAAGTCAGAAACACACCTACTTACATACATTTTGAAATATGACTCGGGCTACAAATTTTGTAAAACAACCAGAGTTTCAGTGAAATGGTGCCAAAAGTCTGTGGCACGCGCAGTAGACCTATTACCGAAATGTTTGAGTCAGTTGTCCTCGATTTGCACGCTGTTTCATTTTCGTCAGAAATGTTGAATTTGTATGCAATTTCGTCAAATGTTCGATTTTTTGTAAATTTATGGTAAATGCAGGCAACTATGCAGGCAACTTTAAACTGCCGGACAATGTCTGCCGGAGTACAAAGCGAAAATTTACATTATAATAAAAAGTAAACACTCGTGGAACATAATAATACAATTACTAGGGTTCAAATATTAGAGACATTAGCTTCCATATACATTTCTACCATCTTTACCCTGGGTAATACCTTTACACCCATTTACCAGGTTGCACTCCTGGATTACAGATGTATCTACTGCGCTACCAGGATAGTTCCAAGCTGTATTGATGAAGGGGTTATCGTCCCAAACCATGTGTCTTGTCATCATGAACATTTGCTCCAAATAGGTGGAGTAGATTCCCCCTGTGAGCGCTATCCTACACTCATTATCGTTAACTGTGCAATTCTTGAAGGTGTCAATTGTAGGCTAATTTGTTGCAACTGAATTTACCAAAAGTCATTCTTAAATGAGATGTAATTATGTATATTTTGTAATTTCGACCGTCCAACTGCATTTATAGAATAGGAGTGTGACTGTATTTAAAATATTCCTGCCCATACCAACAGAGAACTCAAACTAATATGTTTCCAGTGCAAGTACTTCTGCTTTCTGGGATATTTCCAGTGCTTCTGCAAATTTGTTCACCTCTACTTCTAGCTCTCTTCATTGTAAATTACTGCCTCATCTCCCTTTTCCATGAAACAAAGAAGGATAAAAAAGCCGGGAAAAATAACAAACTTCATCGTAACAACCAATTACCTAAATGTCGATATTCCGATTTTGAGATGATAATGAGATGAACTCGATAAACTTGGCCCACACGAAATTGAAAGTTCTTTAGAATTAGGTCAATTACTAAACATTTACTCACCTATTTGCCATGTAAGGCAAAGAACTAAAGATTTATTTCTGTATTAGTAGTAGATTATACAGAATTCCGATTTCCGATATCTAAAACAATATGACACATATTATGCGAATGGCTTTAATTGGGATGGATAATTTTTCTATCGCATATTACACGCATATGTATATAAGTGATATGAAAGTTTCTATTAGTAACATGCATATTACTATGTAATACTTACACTGTACTTTAATTTGTATACTGCATAGTCATGAAATGCCACAATCTTCTTTAGAAATGATTTACTACGTAAAGCCCGCCCCTCCCACTCTGTGGGCATGTTTTAAATTATTAACTTTAATATCATTAAACCAAGTTAATTGATCTCAAATACTTATATACACTCCAAACTTAATTTTTTTATTATCATCAAACCAACGTTAATCGTTTTATCAGGAATTTCAACCAGCATAATAAGCGTATGATCTGTATTTTCAGTGTTTTAGCCGATAGTTATTTCCGTATTAAGTTTTTCATTCCAAAAAGGTGTTGAAAGTGAGTGTATTTCTAACTTGCTTTTGAAATAGACATACTAGCTTTACTGTTTGATAGTTTGTACATCATGCGCTAAGGTATGCATGAATGTGTACTTCTTACTCAATACTAAACCAAAGCTGACAATTTATGTATATGCTTCCAAACGGTACCTGATGTCTGCAGTTATGCAAGAGGTATTTAACAGGTATATAAGAGGTGTGTAACCGGTACATAACTCGTATGTAACACTGTAACAGGTATGTAAATGGTATGTAAATGGTATGTAAATGGTATGTAACAGGTATGTAAATACTAAATGGTATGTAACAAGTATGTAATAGGGATGTGACTGCTGTGTCACTGGTATGTAACAGGTATGTAACAGGTATGTAAGATGTCTTACTATTTCAGATGCCTTACCTGGTCCTGCAGATCAGGATCTGTATGAGATTGTGGACAAGGTCCTTGCTAAGACGGTGGATATTTTAGAGGGTTTACGAGCTTATACTGGAGCTACTGATCCTATACGAGAGGTAAATCTTGTAATTCGATTCGCTAGTTTTAAGTTTTGGTTCACTTCTATATATGATATTACATAACAACAATTACTGTACTTGATAATGTTTTTTATATCTTTTCAAGATAACCGATCAAGCAATGAGTTTTTTGGCATCTTATTTCCAATTGAATGAAGTTTAAAACTCTGTACTTGTTTGCTTAACTTGAACTATACTAGCACTTGCCGCCCTATATCGAAGAGTACAGATAAATATTTGGATGATATTTATAATGTGTATACTTGACTTAACATTATTAACAAGGATATTGACTGCACGTTTTTTGTGTTGCAGGCAATCAAGAACAACGACTGTGAGAAGTCGCAAGTAACAGCTTGGAAAGCAGTTTGTCCACTCGTCAACGCTCTGAATACATACTATCAGTACAGCATTGAGCTTGATAAGCAGGTAATGTAATGGCTAGCTAATATTTATAGTGATAACAACCAAAACTACGTATGTTAACATACATTTGTAATAGTTAACAACTTACATAAGTTAATGATTTGTTACTTTAAGTGGACAACTTAGTGGACAACTTACTTAGTAGTATTTACCACCATTGCTTGAAGTCAATATTATCTGGTTATATTATGTATACGTTAAAACCATGTCAATAAATTTAAGTTTAGTTATTATATGTAATGTATTGTGAGATGCTAAGCTACATACAGCACAGAAATTTAAACACAAGTAAAATGTATCATGAAAAAAGTACATTTATATGTTAATACCTCAGGTTGTAGAATTATTGACGGTGTTGTGTAGCGAGCCACCCATGGAGTCACTCGAAAACCACCAGGTTCGCATTTTTATAAGTTGTCGAGTCACCATACAATCTACTCAATCTCAGTTTTACCCTTGTATGGAAATATTAAAGAATCGCAGAACAGTTTTGGATAATTTGACATGAAGAAAATTCCATGTACTTAAAATCGTCAGGAAAAGCATTTAAATATATAATGTCACGGATCATCCGATGTTAATTAACGTCAAATCTATAATCGGTAAAATTCACCGTATAATAATTCTCAGTATCTCTTTATTCCAGGCACTCGCCAAGCAGTTTGCACACGTTCTCGACTTCGTGCTGGCTTTCGACGACTTGAAGGTATTTTGATCTTAATTCTTACCCGGAAATTGCGAAGCGGTATCGTTGTATAGTGTATTATGTAGTTGTGGTACTGCGGCATGCCCCTGATTACATGGGTAACAATGTTCCCCCTCCAAAACAGGGAAGTTAAAGCCTAATTCGAAACTGTCACGTGATTTAGGAGAAAGACCGGAACGCGCGATGACATCGATGCGTTCAGATGTTTAAAATTTTTGAGCACGTACGGTGTTTATGGGGAATTCTGGTTTTTGTAACTGACGCGTCGTCAACAACTCAGCTGATAAGGAGTCCCAGATATGTACACTTGTACAGTAGATTACTCTTATTAATAATTCATTAAATAGCGTATGGGTGTATCCGATATCCGCAGTTTATGTACAATTGCCGCGTTACACATGTAAGTGTGCTATGTGGAAGTGCAACTTGTGTGGCGTTCCTTGAGCCCGCCAAACGGCCAAAAGGCAAAATATACTGTAACCCATGCATAGCTACACGAGAAATAAGAACTTGTTTAATTTAAGATTAAGTTTAATCCGATAAAAAATATAGAAGAATTTCAGAGAGATTGACGTCTCTGTCTGTCTTCTTCTTCTTTTGTTGGGTTATAGTGTTTTCACCAAGTTGGATTTTTTAATCGCTCATTTCAGATGACGAATCCGTCCATACAAAACGATTTTAGCTTTTATAGAAGAATGAGGAACCGAGTCAAGGCGTATTCGGAGGTGAGTATTAAAACGAATTTAAGTGCTTGTTCAGCGCTCGCTTTTGGTTATGAATTCTTTGAATTGCTTGTTATGCGAATGAGTCAACAGAATGCTCGATTTAAATTTGAAAACGTTTTTAGGCTATCATTGAAACAGATAATCGATATGTAAGTGCAAGCTGGCAAATGCTGGTTATCTTAACCGCCTACTGCGGGCATTTTCCAATCTTCCTCAACAAAACTTCACAGCTCACCTCTTTTTATTATAACGTGGGATTCAACGACCATTTTCAGTCATTCTCTGTCATGTTTTGTGTGATCCAGAACTTTGGTCAGGAAGACATTTTCAAAAATGGTCGTTTAATCTCGATTCTTATCTAAATTGCTGCATCTTTGCTACTTACTTAGCATGACTGCTGAATTTTCTCACTTTTAAGAAAGCTGATCTTAGTTTTTTTTTACAGAAACTTACCAAGGGTTGCTATTCTGGCAGGAAGTTATTATTCAGCCATTATTATTCAGCCATCAGTGTGTAGAAAGCACCAAAAGTTAGCATATAAAACAGTTTTAAGTTATAATTTCGACTAGAGTTTAAATTTGCCCATGACATGATTTACATTTGAAAATCATCAACAGGCAATGTTTAATTTTACAATAGTAGTATTCTTAAGTAAGAGAAACATTTTTTGTTAATGCAATTTTCGGTTTACAAAATTGAATAGCTCCTCCCTCTATAATACTCGAGTGTGTGTAGTTGATTATTATTATGCATTTAGATGTATACAATTTTACTCTTCACATGGTCCTTCGTTAGGTCATTTTAAACGACCTCTGAAGGTCGTGGGACGTTCTAACTTCAGAGACCCTGTTTATATGCAAGTTTTGAAGCATTAAAAGGTCTAAAGTGCTCACTTTATTTATAACTGAGGAGTGGGTCACTTCGATGACATGTCCAAGTATAAGATGGGTTAAGTAAGGGAGGGATGAAATAATGCTTAGGTAGGTACCTTAAAGTATCCAGTTTTAAACGTACTTTTTGCAGAAGGAATGGCAAAAAAGTATTTTTCATATTCATATATGAATGTGCTCATGGCGAACATTTAACACTACGGGTAAAGTCTCCTTCCTAGCTCGAGATACCTAAATCAAGTGATATTATAGCCTGGGTTGAGCCAAAAAACAGTTTTGTTTTGTGAATATCTTAAAAAGTGAGCACTTTAGACCTTCAAATGCTTTATTACTTGTATATAAACATGGTCACTGAAGTCAGTTTCACCTAAAAATCAAGTCCCTACGACCTTCACTCTTCAGGGGCTGAGATACAAAAATCAAATATTCAAGCCTGAGGGTAATTATAAATTTTGCCCCCTAGGCCAGGGTGGGACTTGGGACTACCGAGATTAATTTCGTACTTAGATGATTTTGGTTTAAAATGACCTAACGAAGGACCCTATGAAAAAAAATTGTATGCATCGAGATGCATAATCAACTACACACGGGCCACGGCTACTAGAGTACTAATAAGAATGTTTGAACACGGTAATTTTTATTTTTTATTTTCGTTGTTTATCTTTTCAGCACTTCTCTAAAGATAATGTTCCAACTATTTTGATATTGTTTTTAAAGTAATATTTCAAACTGTCTGAACAGTAATTTCGTTCACAATTTAATCGAAACCATTCCAAATTATTTTGTTCTCCTCCAAAACCTTTTATTCACATGCAGACCACATCCTCTGGCCTCGTTCAATATGTAATTTACATTTTCAAGAGGAGCTTTAGGTGTTGTTATTCAAAAATAACCAAACCTATCGTAAGAATGTTACCGAAATCTAAGTGAAATATTATTTAAAATTCTTAAGTAAGGCTATAACCAAACTTCTCTAAATAGCTTTAATAAAATCTTTAAAATATAAAGTAAAGGCTGTTTTCGCTCGTGGGGTATATTCGGAACCAATATAATAAAATATGTTTTATGCGATTCCTAAGAGTTTGAAGCAGTGGCAAACACAACACACATGGGATGATATTCATAATGTGTTCTTTCCGTGTTGGGCGCAACTGGTCTCAGTGTCTAACTCAATGTTAAGCTTTTTTAATAATACATGATGAGTGATGACATAACACAGTGCGAGCGATTTGTTAAATTCTGTGAGTATACTCTTATCGTCAGCATATTATACTTCCGCGGAACAACAGATCTTATTGCCGGCAATTCTGGGGAAATTTTAATCTAACAGCCGATCAATACTACACTTGGGCGTCAATAACACCTGTAAAATGTCAATTATGCCAAACCTTAGGTTTATTAAAATATACTCTACAAGTGAAATGATTTCCTGAACGCAAGGCCAACGCTATGACCGGCAGTAGGCTTCGAAACCAATTTGAATTGCATCTCGTATGTTCTTTAAAAGAGCTAAAGAGATTCGTGATATACCATTTTAGTTTTTCAAGCGTGGATATCTGGATTTCAGTGTATGTGCGGACATGAGCCCACGACAACAATATCCATGGTGGAAATTAGATCTGCATATGCACAAATAGAACAGTGTGAGTTGCTCAGAATCCCACATTGCTTGCTTCCTTATTCATATCATTAAAAATTTACTAACCACAAGTTGTGAGACACGGACGTCGCCAGTTTGATCAACTTTTTTTAAAACAGCTTGTCAGGTGTGGCCCCCGCCAAAAATATTACCACCGAATCCATGCCTGCTTGTCATGGGCACTGAAGAGAATAGAAAACAATCTACCTTTTTAAACTTTTTTTAAATTTCGCATCATAATTTATCCCCTCTAGAATGTCATTTGTAATACCTACTTTCTTCCGACTCAATTAACCCTAATCTTACTTCTGTATTTTGACTCCTCACTCCGTATCACACTGATTTTAAAACTATGGTACCCAACCTGTAGAGTGTAGACCACATACATTTTATTTCCCACTGAGCCTGCATTATAGGACACATTTAAAATCTGTTTTGAAACATAATCCTTTTATAATTGAATAGAATATAGCGTTCCCTGAATGTTGATTTCATCGCATTGTTTAATATAATGGTGTTTCCTTACAGGCTGAAGAGCACGAAGTGAGCAATGAGGTAGCGAACAGGATGAGTATGTTCTACGCGTACCCTACCCCCATGCTCAAGATGCTATCCAACTCTGTCACTTCCTTTGTTAAAAAGGTTTCTGTGATTTGTCAGCTATAAGTTACTGTTGTTGATTAGCAGCGGTGCCAAGAGGCTGTTTACAAATCTCCCGCGGATTTTTTCTACAAATTCGACTCACAACTGTCAAGTAATAATTCTCCGTTTCAGAATCAAGCGTTGCCCCTAGAGAACACAACGGACATATTCAGTACTATGGCTAACTTGTGCAGATGTATGATTGAAGATCCGTAAGTTAATTTTCCTGTGATTTGTCAAATTCCTATAATACTTCACAGTTCATTTAACTAGCCACTGAAACCTTGTAAAGTGTAAAAAGCTTTGAACTGAAAAACGCGCCTAATGAATCAGATATCTCACCATTGTAAATTGGTGTCTCATAGTTTCGATGACTAACTGTAGAATGACCCACAAATCACTCGTTTTTTGCACTAGCCAGGAATTCCCGAGCTGTTCGATGGAACTTCTTAGTATTAGAAGGTCCCTGGACTAGATGTTGTGAAAGATTCGAGGCTGCGCGCGGCTTTACTTGTTAACTTTATGTCACAGTGGCTGCACAAATTTTAGCGTGGGTATTGCTCAAATGTTTTCGCGCGCGCCGTCTATGACAAATGTAACGTTTTCCATTTTAACTCGTTGCTACTAGGCAGCTGCCAGGTAGTAAAATATTCGCCTGTACTGAGTACTCCCACATTACAGTGGATAATGGGATTTGCACCAGGAAAAGAAACCTCGACGTCTTAATAGATAACTACATGGGTAGATCACTCCTTTCTAATTTTAGTCAAAGGATCGGCCCTGCTTTGAGGAGGATCGTGGTCCGATAGTTTCATTGCATCTTATTATAAGACAATTTCGCGTTATATCGGTTTATTAGAAAATACTATCGACTATTGACATTGTCAGGAATTCTCAATATGCCTCTCCTAAGTGAGCAATTTGCCAATAATCCGTCCGGACTCAGTACTCGTTCTAAATATAATTCGCCATCCTACTAATCATATCATTCAAAAAATCCCCTAAGGAAACGCCCTCATATAGTACACAATACATCTTCAGTTAGTGACAAACAGTATTTGAACTGTCGCCACAAAACTAAAACCTGAATCATTTTTTGATTGTTCTCTTTATTTTGAAAACAAGTTGATCATCCATTCTATTGCGAACAATGCTATAACATATAATTACCAGTTGGGACCACCCCAAGTTTACAATAATTATGGTGACCCCTTCGAATTTATGCAACCAGCAACTATAGTACTATAGTACTATAGACCGGTAATGACCAGCTGTAATTGCGCAATAGTGTTACAACTCTATTCGAAAGCTTGATCAAATTCAATGTTAATTGTTGAAGCAGTGTATTATAAGGGTGTGGTGTGTAAGAAGTGTAACAGATGGTATAAAGTGTGAAAACTTGCTAAATATCTGCACAAGTTGCACATTTGTTAAGATTTTGCAACCTTCCTGTTTCTAGGCGGTGCAACTATGCGTCATTTAAAATGCAAACAGCGCTGGCAACAATGTGCCCTGTAAATCCAAAAATATGGGTTTTTTAATATCGGGAATGTAGTGCCCAGTTGGTACAGCGGTAATTCTCAGGTTTTTATACAATTTCCATAATTTCAGTCAGATAGTAGCCAGGTTTCAGCAGAAGGAGACGACCCTGTTCGTGTTGAGGGTGATGGTCGGGGCGATCATCCTATACGACCACGTTCATCCTGTCGGGGCGTTTTACAGGAAATCTAACATCGATGTAAGTCAATTAAAGGAACTCACGACCTTGTGATTCATGAAACGTGTCTGCCGTATTGGCTCAGGAGCAGGATCATTTCATCATGGCATTTTCATGCGGCAGATCTCTAGATAAATGTAGTATGCGGGATTGTATTGTAGCTGCAAACTTGCAGACGGTTCAGGAAACTATGGTCCTTTGCCATTCAATCTCTAAACGTTATAATAAAGTTCCACCAATCATTGTTTTCAATCGATTAAATAGTGATGAGACAATATCCTCCCGCAGATCAAGAGTTCTATTAAATTGCTGAAAGATCAGCCCCCTAACACTGTGGAAACTCTCTTAAACGCTCTGAGGTACGAATGGTTTCAAATACCGCGGAATATATTGTCCTTTTTCTTTAATTTACTCTTTTAATCCTTAGTGAGCAAGCTTGTCATGACTGTTGCCATGTTTGTTACTTGTTATTACAATCTATAACGCAACAATCATTGACAAGGATGACTTAAGACAGTACGATACATATTTCTTTAATTCTATTACTAAATGCTTCCGACTGCGGACTGACGGATTGAGATCAGCTCATGATGAGTGGTCACTGGTCGTGACTTGTGATATATGGTGTTCTAATAAAAGAGACCGAGGGCCGCGGTGTCATTAGTTCAAATGTCTGCACCTGTCTCAGACACGTCCACCACAATCAAAACACCTGAACCGGGGCTATCCCTCAGTTCGCGGTTGTGGGCGCTGTGGGAGAGTCCTACCGCTACTCACCCCGCTGATTGTCTGAGGGCCACAAATATTTCACCGTGAGATTTGTGGGCATGATTTTCTGGGGCATGGAACCAGACTAGGTTTGGGAGGTTTGAAACTTCAGCCACGTCGAGTGTGAAGTACTGAGTAGAGCTCTGAGTATTTTCTGTCGTTAAGCCCGACTGGGCCTTACTAATTTATCAAAACCAAAACTTGAGGTTTCGACGGAATTTAGAGTTACAGACCCGTGTTAGGTTTCTCAAATAGGATTTTACAGAACTCGTCCCACATGATCTCATACATGACATTAATAGAAGAAAAATGTACTATAATATTTATATACCGACCTTGATCATCTTGTTGTAATTATAACAATGTATAAACAATGCCACATAACTGAGACAGTCCACTTGACAAGGTTAATCTTAACACGACGACTATTTTAACTTCAAAAGTTTAATTTTATGGCGCGGCCTTGTTTCGCGCACGCATGTGATGACACTGGAAGTTAGCTGGCGCCAGTCTGTCTGGCGCCTCCCGTCTTGACGCCAGCGAGTCTGACATAATCTCGCGCAACATTGCTTCTCGTGCTTCTGAGTTCTAATGGGATTCAAAAACTCTTCATTGTGGGAAAATCATAACTTTTCGCGCGAACTTTGCGCGGGAGCCTGACGTAAATTCCATACGGAATAAACCTAAAAAGTTTAACCTTCTCTAAGGCACAATTTGATGATACTTATAGTTTAGCAGCTAACCTTGTAGACCAACATAAACTTTCTAATAGATCTGATTTTAATACTTCATATAACGTTTTTATCCTTAAATATTCTAGTCCTAGTAATTTAGAAGTTAATGAACATCTCCTTATCCAAAAACTCAGAACTACCGTATGGTATTAACTCATGTGATCCTTTTGGTATGCCTCTTATTTAAAAATAAATCTTTTGATAGTGGTCCGTAAATTATTCTTTCCTCTATGCAGGGACTAGTATATTCACTACTAGTTGGGTCCTCACAACCCCCACACCCCTACACGATTTTTGAAACTCATTCGTTGATTGATTGCGGGAAATACCGATCTTGACCCTAAGGCTAAGCTACAAATACAATTCGATTTCGAAAATTATAGGACGATTAGGGATTTAGGACACGTACACTTACACGTTATTCTGTGGTTGTGAAAGAACGTGCTCAATATTTATCTAGTTCCACTGGCAATTAATCGAGGAAAATAAAATTGCACAATTTTTATTCGCCAAATAAAATACGGGCAACCTGTTCCACGGCCAAATAATTTGCACGCAGTAATCGATGTACGCGTATTGGTTGTGTCTGGCCAGGTCAGGAGGAGGACTGTCGATTTAGTTGATCCTATAAATTTGAGTGCGGGACGACAAAATGCAATTATAATATCGATTATGACCGCAGCAACTATATTATTTGAGTTACAAAATTTTCATATGTCAACACGTTCACGAATTTTTTAGTTCAAATAATACAGCGAAATTGAAAAGAGAGAGAGCCAAAAAATCGAACATATTTTATTTGAGTGAAATATTATAGTGAAAATTTGCCCATGGAACTAGAGGGTAACAATGACAAATAAATAATAATACACCACGAAGTTTACGCTTCACCCCTCAACTTCAAGTCCGATGAATGGTATTACAAGGATGGCTCAAGTCTCACGACTAGTTCCTACAGGTTTCTCCTATCCATACCAACCCTATCAAAGTGGGCTACTTACGATATCGACCAGCAGCTCGACCATTGAGAGGTCTATCATGTGATAATTGAATTGTAATAACCGACCTTTTAATGTTGAAAAATATGTAACTTCTGTGAAAAAATAAACACCTTCGTTCAGTTACAAATGTTCAGCTTTTGTCGTTGGTATTTCAGTATAACAGCATGTAAAATGTAAATACATTGTCATCGTGGTGTTCAATATAATGGAATAATCTCGAAGATATAGTTAAATCCCGTATTTATACAGTTGTGTTAGACTCACATATCACGCCCTCAATTTCACTAGCTATTCAATACTACTAATGAACTATTTTGAGGAATGCATTACCTAGAACAGTCTCGCTAGACCCTATCTAGACGGTACTTAATGTGTGTCGTCTAGCTTATACTTTATGCTAAATATTATGCGGTGTCTCATACTGTCATACTGATCGTTGCATATTTTCATTGTTATTGGTAGTGGAGAGAGTCGTCACGTACTCATACGTACTGAAAGTGAAGCATTTATCTGATCTAGTGTTCTATATCGTTACCATTATTGTGTGAAAACAATTTACTTTGTAACTTTAATATCTCATCCTAATATTTGTTTTCTTATTTCAGGTATTCTACTGTCCACGCGAACGATGAAGAAACTCCATCAGTCGTTAAAAAACTGTTAGCCGAATAGTTAGCGCAACTATAATTACATTTAGCATACTCCAGAACTTTCAACAGAATTCCTTGCATTTTTATTGTTCTTCCTCCTGAATTACACGGACATAAAAACTTATAGTTTTACCACATGATGGAAGCAGCTCGTAGAGCACCAATCCTGCATATAATTTGATGGAATGATGTTTCTTACTGCAATGAAAATTATTTTTGAAGGAAGCGTGGAGAAATGTTGAATAAACTGAAGTACACTGGACGGAAATATTTTAGGTGCATGATATAGAAACGTATATCGGTAAGGTGTTGAATATTAATAAGATGATTATAAACTTTGCTCAGTTTTATTTTTCAGTGTGGCCATCGCCAAGCTTGAATTTCTCGCTCTCTTTTCAGCCTTGCCAATAATTCTGCACAACTCAATGATAAGCAGTAGTATTTATAAAATGCAGCTTGTTGAAGTAATCATATTAGTAGTGCAATGTTGTGAAATGGGTAGTTGATTTTTGTTTGTTTATAATATTGAGTAATACGTGTTCAATACCTGATTACCATTATCATTTATCATAATATTACGTTTTAGCTTTCTTACGATACGGTCAACAGTATAGTTTATTATGTTACGATATTAAATTTGTTTTGTATCAATTTTTCCAGGTCAGATTTTGATAATTTCCTTTAATGCTAGTCTTCTGATGATGCATTTTTTCGTTTCTAGACAATCTTGCTCAAAATTATTACCGTTTTGGTTAAAACCAATTGGACGCATCGTTTATAAATACAATTTTCATATAATATACGGGCACCAGAATTCAAGCTTTAGCACAAATTTGTATGTTTATTGGCGATCATTTTTGTTTTTAATTTGGTTCTATTTGTACGGCAGTATTTCATACCTATTTATATGCATTGATATGATTGGTTGCCATCCTCTGATCTTATCGAGGATTTGACAACACGGAACATTGTGTTGATTATGTAGGTAGTTGTTGATTATTATCATTTTAAATCGGTTCCCTTTTATTAATAATCGGATGAAAGCATCCCCTCGATCATAATAATATACATACACATGCTTCTTGATCTGTATTTCAAAAGCCAGAATTACTGTCAATTACTGATAATTACAGCTAATCATTTTATAATAATCATTGTTATACGAGCCTGCTTTTTAAGGTCGTTTCAGGCTGTTTTAAATCTCAAAATATCTGATGATTATGTTTTGTAAATATATCAATACATTATTACAGTAATCAATTTCATTTAGCCACGCATTTTCATTGTTTAAAACCCCGGGTTGCAAATGTAATATTCAGAGGAACAAATAACTTTTTGAGTAGAAAAAAATTATAATGTGTGCCATCATTTCCTGTACCTGACTGGAATTTAGCGAGAGCTTAGGCTTTAAGTCTGAGTAACCTCCTAAAATAGAACGGCCCTTGAATTACCGTTATTTCATTCCATTAATGAAGTGGGACGAATATACTGCGGATACTGCAAAAATTGCAAGAATAATGTATCCGGTATTAAAGTGCTGTAAGTGTAACTAATGATAATCCCTACCGGGGTAAATCAAATAATGAAAATGAGCCTAATCTGATGTAACCTATATCGGACAGAAATCAGATAGGTTATCGTTTGTTTATTTTGTGTGAGATTGTGCCCAGTATTCTGTAGGTTAATGTAACTCTCACGTTTTATAACTTTTAATCTATTAAAAGCATGGTTTTTAAAATAATGCGTTAGGATGATTATATTTAGTAGTCGTGATATGGTTGGTACAAAGCGGTGTTTTAGGTAAGAAATATCACAACCATTCCTGGAACCCTCCAAAATTGAATAATTGATATGATCAAATTTAATAATTTATCTGATCTTATGTAGTTTTTGGTCACGTACAATTAAGTAGATTTCCCAATTATAACTTCACTCCCACGACCTAATTTGCAAGTACAATGACACATCCGATAAGGTACATGGTGCAAATCAAAAGAGACATTATCAATTATCAGTGTCTAGGTGTCAAACTCCAATAAGTAAAGTTTACCCAAATTTAATAAGTCTTTGGGAATTAGGCTGCACGTGCCGTCTTTTAAGTAAACTGATTAAATATCGGCTATCTTCTTAACCTACACCACGTGTCCAGTGTCCATTGTTTCAGAGAATTACTTCCTGAACTGATCAAGATTATTTTATCTTTACGTATTCATGTTTAATGACCCTGGTTGATTACCTTTCGGATAAATATATCTTTGAGGCAGGCTTTATACCGTGCTCCAATGCTACCTCATTATAACTATTAGGGCGAAAATTTGAAGTGATAGAAGTCCTGGTGTCCCGAGTTTGCAAGTGCACTCTTTGTTAAATTGTAAGATTAACAATGAACAAAGTTCCGCATTAAGTGTAAAGGGCTCTTATAATTGCAGGTGTATAGATTTGATTTGAAAGTTTGAAAGCTTTGAAGTCACTATGTTACTATGTTATTGTTATAATGGTAATCAATAGCGCCGGGGACAAAGGTGCTCAACATGTAACGATGATTCTCCTTCAATAATGTGATGTGATTGAGATGAAACAGCCATCATGCTGATCGTGTGTTATTAATGATGTGCACCTCTCAGAGCTGTGAGACTCTTTAAAATGATGCAATTCTCCGAAATTATGGTACCTCGCCGTGTAAATGTTGTCATTGTTTTCCCACCGGTCTACAAAGAGATTAACTAATTCATTGTTTTAGTATGGCTAATTAAGAAGCTTTAACACCACAAATCTGCAAGGTCCACTAGTTATTAACCTCTATATTACGTAGTACCAGGCTGGACGAATTACTCAAACACGAGTTCCGAGTCTCCGGCCAATTCGGATCGGGGGTCATTATCCTGAAAAATTTAGTCCAGAAAAATGAAAATGTAGTTTGTCTAGAGTGGCGGGGCTGGGCTTGGGAGAGCTCCTCTCACTTCTCTTAATGAGGGTAAAACACAGCAACATCTGTCTGACGGAGCAATAAAGCTACTAATGGTACGGTTTTCCTTGCTCATAAAGAAGTTGGCTGGTTTACAGAGCCTGGAGACGAGTAGTTAGAGTGGTAGTGTGACTCACATCTCCAGTTAACTGGGTTTGAACTGTAGTGGGAAAAAGGGGAGAGAAAGAGAGTTGATTACTCTTTATTGTACGGGGTCTAATTTTTACATGATATTTCAGCACATTACCAGTCTTACCGGCTCCTTTCCGTCCCTTTGGGGCACCACCACATTGAAACAAGAACTATAAACTGCCATGTTGGGTGCCTTCTGAGGAATATACCGTTATACCTCGTATACCACGAGGAGTCGCCAGTGTGCCGTGTGGTTTAATGAAGATGGGACCCGGTACTAATACTTTATACTACTACTAGTACGGTACTAACACTTCAAGTCTCGTGTTAAAACCATGATAGCTGGGTGTTTTGAGTAAAGTATAACGTTTTATCTCTGAAAATACATCCCTTTAATGCAATGAGTTCCTACGGGGTCCTACATAGGGTCACAAACTTATTAATGTTTTAGATCTGAAATCTGATATCTGATACATGATGTACATTTTAGTGTCATGAAATTGGCTGAAAGTCATTTTATTTGAATATTTTATAGATTGTATAAAGTGGTAGGGCAGTGAGTGTAATGGTTTGATTATACTGTGGAGGCGGCAAAATTTCAAGAATAACGTACTCCACATCAGTAATGGTAATTCATACCGGTCACCGGAGTTAATCGAAGTAAATGAAAGTATTAATCTTATCTGATGTAACAGCATTACATGTTGAACAGAAATCAGATAGGTTATCGTTTGTTTATTTTGTGAGATTGTGACCGTTATTTGGAAGTAAATATTGCAATAATTTTCATTTATGAAAGGCAAAGTTTTTAAATCTAAGTAAACTATAGGTAAAAATATAATATTAATCATAAGCTAAAATGTACTAATCTTTGTATTCTAAATGGGGAAAAAGAAGAAACATTGTCAGTCAGTCGAGAAAATTGTCAGTCAGGCTATATGGCAGCTTTGTAGATGTTGTGACTATGCTAGTAGTGGTCCCAGGCTTGCGACTGGAATTGCGGTGTTAAATCGATTTAATGGTACCAACGATCCACCTCCCACTTGTTGTTTGGTACTTAGCATTAATAGTGTTAGCTGTAGCCATTTATAGCAAGAATCTTAAAACATAAGGGGATGACAAGGAAAAGAGGAAGGAAAAAGAATAACGGGACAAACAATTAATTAAAGTATTTATAGGAGCATTAGATATTGTAATTACAAGCTTCAATAATAAATCACTGACTAAAACTTCTAATTAAAATGACACTTGGTACGCTCGCCCATTTTCACTGGTCAGTCTGAACTTCGGTTTAGCACGTTGTACACTTATTCACCTAAGTTTCAGAATTTGTTCAGTTTAGCAGAGTTAGTACCCGTGTTTCAATAAGTCAAAAGATATCAGGGGAGTTCTTTAATAATGTTACGGTCATCTAGAATACCGAACTTCCTGAAAACGTTATCATATTTCCTCAGACAACGTTTAATGCCTTTAATCAGTCTATCACGGCTATATCCTCTATCAAATAGAATTTTGAATATTTTGTGAAGATGGGAGGTAAAGATATCCAATCTAGTGCAAACATTACCATATCTAAGAACTTGACTTGAAAAAACGTTGTAGCCAACCTCGGTTGGGATGTTACTGTGAGGAAATGTAAGGGATACAACATGAAAATTAAAATCATCAGTTTTGTTATACACTGATATTTCTAGTCCTTCTGTGGAAATATTAATATTTAAATCAAGGTAGTTAATGATTTTATTATTGGAACCAGCTCGCTCCATCTCCAATGAATTAGGATAAATATCTTTAATCAATTTATGAAAGTAAAGGTAGTTAATAATAGATAAATCGTCAACATATCGTTTATTATTGGATAATATCTTTGCTAATCCCATTTTCTTTTCCTGAAGTAAACGTTTCATATAATTAAATTCCTTTTTGCCAACAGTGAGATCAGCTATAGGGGAACTTGAATTTCCACCCATAGGAATACCCTTGGTTTGTATGAATACAATCCCACCGAAGACGACATAAGTGTTATAAATAATAAATTTAACAGCCTCTTTTAGGTCATCTTGACTAAAGCAGGCATGACAATCATAGGTTTTATTGGAAAAGAAACATGTATTACTGTCTCTTTTAGAAATACAAATATATCTATTACGGTCTGAAAATATTAAATCAACAACTTCATTAATCATATTCTCTACTTCAATCAAGTCTAATCTGGTATAAAGAGTAGTAAAATCATATACTTGTATATTATAAACATCGCTATTTTTGATAGCTTCAAAGAATTCACTTGAGGAATCTATGCTCCAAAACATGTTTATACCGCTGTTGTTGTAGATTGCCTCGCAGTATTTCTTGAAGTATTTCCTCAAAAGTTTCAGACAACAGTTAACTTGGACGTTAAGTTGTTTCGTAACGCAAAAACGGGCACCTGCAATGAACCTCGCCTTGTAAGGGTTCTTATGAAGCTTAGGGTTCCAGAAGATGCGTGCTAGTCGCAAGTTTTTATCTTCAACTTGTACATTAAATCTCTCCTTTAGACTCTCAGATATTTTATTGACATAATGAGTCTCGTCTTCGCTACAGGGTTTATATGTATCATTACCTATACATTCTAGAGTATTAGGATCAAAACCCATTTCATTGACAAGAGTTTTTACATAAAACTTTTTACAAATAAATGAAAAATTACCAGAAGCTTTGTCGATACTACAAATAATGTATTTACTTTTCAGCATTTTAAGACTTCTTTTAACATCATCTTTTTCCAGTGTGTTTTCTTTTATTTCAAATGTTTCAGGAAAGTTTTTCTTGTAATATTCAATACGATTGGAAACTATTGATAACACTTTTTCCTTCCAATCGCTGAACTTTACTTCTTTTTGACAGTACTTTCTACTTTTTGATTTTATAAATTTATCGACAGCTTCGGTAACTGACATATATATCTCATCTGGAGATTTAAATGTGGGAATTCTGTATTTACAACCGTAGGAAAGTACTTCCCTAAGTTCAACATTATCAACAATATCTAAATTACCAGTAACTACATGTCCATGAGGAGGATAATTGAAAGGGGAGGAGTGACAATCGCATGGACTACCTAAAATAGATTTAATATCAGAAATAGAAAGTTTCTTTAAGAATGAAGCATAGTTACAAATAGAAAGACTTA